GATCTACTGAGAACCAATATCCTAGCACTACTCACTTATTATCATGGTAGTATGGCAGGATAAAAGCCGAAAGGTGTTCTGTTTTAAAGACATTGTCATAGTAGCTCTCATTTATGACGTGTCTACTTGATGACAGGCAGATTAGTTAGTTCACCTCAAATCCTCACAACAACCCTGCAAGAAGGGAACAGTTACTAGGATTCCATGCCAGAATGTCTGACTCAAACGCTCCAACCTCTATGCCGCATACTCCTTATCATCAGTGACAGCAATGTCCAGGGAGCATGCTCCATGTGACTGGACACCCGGGAGCAGGGCCGCCCTCCCCACCCTGAGTTAGATGAATCGCACTGATTATTATTTTCTTTTCAAAGAGTGTTGCTGAATTAATAAGTGAAATATGTTGGCTCATGTTAATTCTTTCAGATGTCGGTTCTGATTAATTTCTTTATTTTTGAACGATCTGACTCAAGTGCATTATATTGGGAGTAATTAAAACACAAAGATGGGTTTGTTTTTTTGAACTATTAAGTGTGTGTGTGGGGGAGAATCATAAGCTTGTGAGCACTGATTTTAGTGTTTATCCACCTATCAGTTATCAAGGTAGAGAAATACAAATTCCCAGTCACCCACATCAAAAAATTACAAAGCATGTTTTGTTTCTTTTTTTCCAGTTGATCAAAATTATGTCTCCTAACTGTTCTGTGTCTGGAACTAAAGCTGAGCTCACTTAGCAAAATGTCTGTTTAGATAAATCGGGAACAAAAAGACCAAAACTAATGACTTCCACAGAGGAAGGTGCCCTGGGAAATATAATATAGACTAGCGGAATCCGGGGCCTGTTTGCTATGATTCTGTGTACCCGTCTGATGGGAAGCATGAATAGTTTTCTTTACACAAAGGGACTCAGGGAACGGTGAATCAGGGAATAATTGACTTGTCTTGGTATGTTTGTGAATGTGCATTTTTATCTGATGGCAAATATGCTGTTGGCCTTTGAGTCAGTCACCCACCATAAAATTTCCTCCGCCTCACATGCACCAAGATAGTGTGCCCATCCCCTCCCCCCAAGAAAACATTTCAAATTAGCATTAATCAGCCAATGTCCTATTTGGGGGCCCGGCAGTGAAAGCCACCTACTGCAGCTGAATGCCATTCAGCGGGCAAGAAGTGATTTGCAATATAATTTAAATGAAGAGTTGGCTTCCTTTCCCATTTAGAACACACCAGTATGGAAACCTGATTGTCAAACACTCTGGTGATGTGCATCAACTTGGCTATTCACTCAGAAAATGAAGTTTCCGGAGACACCGCACATTTAATTTATTTCCCTTTTCCCTATGAAGTTAACTTCGGCTTGTTAAATACAATGACTATCCAAACCACAGAAAAACCAACACCATTAATTTTAATGCTCATAGCATAATGGAAGGAGATTATATTTGTTTGGGAGTTTTTCCCCCTTTTAGTAGAATGTTTACTTGCCCCTCTCCTTAGGAGTTAATTATTATTTTCCTTCCACACGCTCTGCTTCTATCTGAGCAGCCTGTGTGCTTGTTAGTGTCTTCAGTTGATGAACTGCTGGTGATTCTATCCTTCTGCAATGTCGATCACTAAAACATCAATAGCTTGGCAGCATGGCCTGTGTATGTGTGGCTGATAGCAATGCCATAGGTCCCTGACAGGACCCTCTCCTCTATTTTTATAAAATGTTTAGTTTTAGTAGAGTTTCTTTCCTAATCTTTGGGAGACTGACTGACTTTTTGGTAAATTATATAGTAGTGAGCTAAGAATTGGTGCTTTTTCCTATCTAATCATTTGAGTATTTATTAATTAACTAGAGGCTCGGTGCATGAAATTTGTGCATTTGAGAGGTTCTCTCAGCCCGGCCTGCACCCTCTCGCAGTTTGGGAGCCCTCAGAGGATGTCCGATTGACAGTGTAGGTCTGCTCCCCGCAGTAGGACATCCTTAGCACTGCTGTGGAGGCCAGGGCTTCTGGCTGAGCAGCACTCCCCTTGTGAGAGTACATTGAGCACCAGGGGGCAGCTCCTGCGTTGAGCGTCTCCCTGCTGGTGGTCAGTGGGCATTGTAGTGACAGGTTGTTCCGTTGTTTGGTCAATTTGCATATTAGCCCTTTATTATATAGGATTTATTTTTAAAAGAATAGTTTATTGATTTTTAGAGAGAGAGGAAGGAAGAGGGAGAGAGCAACATCAATGTGAGAACAAAACATCGATTTGCTGTCTCCTGCAAGCCCCTTACTGGGGATGGAGCCCACAACCCGGGCATGTGCCCTTACAGGAATTGAACTGGCAACCTCCTGGTGCATGGGATGAAGCCCAACCAACTTAGCCACACAGGACAGGGGTGGGTATTTATTTTAAAACATCTATTTATTCACTTAACAGGCACATAATGAGCATCCAGCTTCTGGTAGCTAGCAGTGTGCTAAAGTATTAGGGATTAAACATAAACAAGACATTGTCCATCCTCAGAGAGCTCATAATTCTGAGCAGGAATTATAACAAAGAATTGCAGCACAGTGAGGTAAATGGTACAAGAGAATTGGGCATAAAGTAATAGAAGAGACGAAAGAAGGAGCACTCCCTAGCAAGGGGGCAGAAGATGCTGGAGGTAGATCCCAGAGACCTAGACCTTATGTTCTTCAGGTTGGCAGTGAAATGATGGGTGAAGGTGGGAAAAAGTGGCACAGGCAGAGAGAATAGGGATGCAAAGTTATGAAGCAAGCATTTTGTCAGAAACCTATATAGCTATTTAAATAATAACATAAGCTGACATTTAAATGTTCACCATTTGCCATACCTTGTTTCAAATTCTTGTATCTACAAACTCAGTTAAACCTTATAATGGCTATTCAAAGTAGGGATTATTAGCATCCCCTTCTCCAAATTAAAACTGATGCCTGGAGATGTTCGGTAACTTGCCGAATATCACACAGCAGTAGGACCAAGACTGGAACCCAGGTTCTTTGGCTTCTAAACATACATCTTTAAATATTTTGCACAGATTCTCTTTGCCCTTTTGAGCCTTCAGTCCAGCTGTGCAGAAAAGACCTACAAATATGACCGACATTCATGACTATGTCTAAGTGGGGATAATAACAATGCCTATCACAAGTGGAGAGGATTAACTGAAGTAGAAATATATACAGTGTTATGAACAGTGCCTGGTATGCACTAAAGCCCTTGTTAACTACTTGTATTATGATTATTAATATCTTAAAAGTAGTAGAGTCCAATGGTACTTAGGAATTCAAACCACTTAGGGGTAGGTTTGCAAAGGGCATTGGTGAATACGCACTTTTTGTAGTTGGTGGCATCTGATGCAGACCTAGCTGGCTTAATAGTGGAATTCTTTTTTATTTTCTTTTTTAAATTGATTTGAGAGAGAGATAGAGAGAGAGAGAAACATCGATGTGAGAGAGAAACATTGATTAGTTGTCTCTCACATGTGCCCTAAGGCGGGATTAAACTCGCCATCTTTTGGTGTACAGAATGGTGCTCCAACCAACTGAGCCACACACGCCAGTGCAATGGTAGAATTCTTACAGATAGGACTTGGGAGGGAGTATTTCAGCATGGACTGCAAAATTCCATCATGTTTAAGAAAAGGAAATACACTAAGTTGATGAAAGCAGGTCTATAAAAAGAAGCAGGAAGGAATAAGGTCAAATAGTAGGTAGAAATTGTTTGCAACTAATGATATTTATTACATAGTTGTCATAAAAATCTTTCTGGGGTTATGGGCTCATTTATTTTTTCATTTGAAAAAGAGCGAGTTTCAGGAAAGGTACATAACTTACTTAAGGTCATCCAGCTAAAGAGTGGTAGAACTTGTATTTGAACCCCGTGTATGGTACTTAATGTGCCACATTCACTTGACTGCAGCACACACTCAGTTTCAAAGCTTTAACCACTCTAATTCATCATGAATGGGTATAGAATGATTTTCACAGTGAAAGAGATAAGAAAAAATAAGAAAAATGTGTCAACGTGTTCTTAGAGTGCTCCTTATCAATCACTATAGCCCAACATTTCCCCAGTTAATAGCCTGTGTCTACTTTCATTAAGTGGAAAGAGCTGGTCTCTCTGATTTCCTGCATACACGCCCCACCTCAACTCTCCTATTTGTGTACCTGTTATAACACATACCATAGATGACATCCCACCTTCTGGAAAAAGAGCTATCGGTTAAGAGTTTGGGCTACAAAGAACTGCTCAGTGCCAGTGTTGGAATCCCAGCTCTGTCTTTCATAGCTTTGGCCATGAACAAGATTCTTAAGTTCTCTTTTGCTATTTCTTTATCTGTTTAATGATGATAATAATAGTCCCTACATCAGTGAGTTGCTGCTAGGAATAAATGAATTAATATAGAGAGAGACTAAAAACTGTACCTAAACTGCTGTGATCATTCATTAAATATTAGCACTATGATTGCCGTTTGTATGCCTTATATCTCATGTCTCTTTAAATAAAGAACTGTGATTGGCTCTGTTGGTGAGGGCATGGGAAAGTTATCCTTTCATATATTGCTGTAGATAGTGTAAAATTGTACAACCTTTATAAATGGTAATTTGACAGTATCTATCAAAATTTAAAATATGTTTCTTTTACCCAATAATTCTCCTTCTAGATATTTATCCTACAGATAGATTCACTCAAGGGAAAAATGTATAATTTGTACCTGTTGAATTTTAGACTATGTATGTATAACCCAGTCCAAATTCTTAAACTGAAAATTGACGAATGTTTTATGCTTAGTTTGTACCCTCCACGTTGTCTAGCACAAGGCTAGGTACAGAGGCACACATTCCCTTTTGTTTAGCCTGGCATGATTCCTATGATCTCTGTGCCCCAGGCCCACCTCATGCATCACATATGTCTCAGAATGATGCTCCATTGTGACAACTGTGTACTTCATCCTCCTTTCTCCTTCAGTGGCTTGCTTTTGAAACTGACATATACTTCTTTCAATGCAGCTATGTCCTTGGCTTCTCTCGATGACGATTCCTGACTCGTGGCCCTGGCAATCTTTGGAAAACATCAGCCACTTTCTTCAGTCCAGACCTCAGGACCCGCCTTTCCCCAGCATCACCGCCACCCAGCCTGGACACATTGACCAAACCGTTTTCTAGGACATACGTGAGTAAAATGCTTGGTTCTTTTACACAAATAATTCAAATCATCCCCATCTCTCCCCTCTGCACCCTCAACTTTTGAGCATGATTTTGTACCTCTCAAAAGCTGCTCCAATTCTCTTACTTTCTGGAACTAACTGCCTGTCCTATAGTAGTCCAGTCTCTCAGGTTCATTCTTTGTTTAATCACTGACTTATCCAAGGAGGTGGTGGCCAGTGGAATATGAGAACTGAAAGGCACAAGCCTTTGTTCTCCTGTGTTTGCAGTCAGGGTTACTTGTCTCTGACTTAAATTGGAGACTAAATGGATTAGAATAAAACCAATTTAAGGGGGGAAAATGTTCACAGACACAGAAATGGAGATTCCTGCTATCTTGGCTGCCTAAGATCGGCAGGCCTCACCAAGGAATTTAAAGAGTAATGTTTCTTATCATAAGTGACAGAAATATGCTGCTTTCTGCATCAGTAGATATGAAGATTAAAGGGTCTGACCGTATTAAACAATTTTGCACAGCACCAGGCACTCTGGGCTCTGCTCTCTGCCTTATTACCCTTCATCCCGTGGCTATTTCAGGCCCAATTTAAGAATACAATGCAGTCTGGCTTGGCAAATTGACATTCTTTAATTTAAAGTGTCTTGTGGGAGAATTAAGAAATTATGGAACAATTATTCGCCCTCAGTTGAAAGCTGGGTGGCATCCTGCGATCCTTGTACATCAGCCATTTGAACTGATTAAGTCACATAATTGAATTACTTCTTTGCCGCTCTAATATCGTGTGGCAAATATATCGGTGTTTTGTGTTGGGAAATGCTTCCATATAAATGAAGTAGGAGTTGGCGTTGGCGATTGACCTGAACGTCAGAGAAAAACACCACAGCAGAGTGGGCAGACACTTCAAGGTTTTGTGGGGGAGGCTGCTTAGCAGAGCAAGTGTTTTATTTGTAGTTTACATGGAAATTCACAGCTCAAGACTGTGCATGTGATATGGGGAGGCATGCTTCCTTCCCTCGGCTGCCTTCCCAGCATCCTTCAGTGCGCAGCTCAAGTGTCTGCCACTCATTCTCAAAGATTTTTTGTTGACATTCCCCACGAACAAAAATGGTGGGCTTGGGGTACCTCCCTTTGTCCTGCGTGGTTTCCCATATGCACATCCATCCTAGCGCCTCCCACATGACGACAAGTCTCCTTTCCCCGTGCACTGTGGCTGAGCTGGGGACCATGTCCACATCACCCAGGATGGTCAATAACTGTTTGTCAAATGAGGATTTACTTGGAAATCTCAATAGTTTCGTTTCTAAGCTCAGTTTTCATTTGTGGAGTGGGAATCAGAAGGAGGCAAAATCTCTTAGTAATTTCTAAAGCTTCATTCTTAAGTAGGGGTTTTGCCCCATGTATCCTTAGATCATTTTGTCAAGGATTCATTAAACACCGACTCTGTTTAACAAATGTTTGCTAGGCACCTGTTCTGTACAAAAGCTAGGGTAGGTGCTGAGGGGGAAAAAAAAATAGCCAAAATGTATTTCCTGTTTCTTACAGGAGCTGAAACTCCAGTTGGGGATTGGAGAGGTCCCCACGGGAAATAGCCCTGGTGACTGAGAGAGCAGGCAGTGGGCTGGAGAATAGTCCTGGATGATGAGAAGGGGTGATGGTACCTTGCATTGTATTCCTCTCTGGATTTGTACTGCCCTGGGTCTGCCCTGCCAGCGCCCCCTCCCACATCATCCATTTGGGAACCCAGCGGAGAAGAAAACTCTTAGACTAATGTGGTCAGGCTGGATGGGGGCCTTTCATTTGAAAATCCTCCAGAGGAGAGAGATTTTACAGCGCTGTTCTCCCCCTCTCCGCCCCACCCCAGCTCCCAACTCTCCACGTACCGTGAAGCCTTCTGAGTCTTCGAATTCTTTGTCTGTTCTGTGTGGCACGAGGATCTCTCTCTCTCTCTCTCGTTTGAAAGCTCTTTACCTTTTCTTTCCCTTTGTCAGAGAGCACTCCTGGAGCTTTAAAACCCAGCCGCAGCTATCTTCCTGAGTGTCTGTGTGGAAAGGATTAATCAAGTCTGTCAAACATTGAGCTGGAAAACCTTTAATATTTCTAAAAGGTTTAAAGCTGGCATATTTATCACATGCATCATTGTGAATACTCTATTTTTTTAATAAGAAAAATAAATGCTCATTGTAAAATCTTGTGGTGATGAGCACCGTGGGTGAAAGGCTCGTGCAGGGGTCCCATTGTGATACTGGAAGAGAGATTCTGGCAAAATCTTTCTCTCACATCACTCCCCTAGGAGCCACCCATCATCTATCACACTCCTATTTATTTGCATGAATGTTTCATATTGTGGAATTCTGCATTCTTGGTGCTGAAAGGAATGTAGGAGAAAGAGACTCATTTTTGTCGTGTGCCTTCTATGCATTGTGTCTGCGAGCTTTAAGTGGGTTGTCGCATCCTCATTTCCACAACAGTTCCTCATAGTAGGCCCGAGCACCGCTGATTTATTGACAAGGAAACGAAGAGTCAAAAAGTGAAGCGATTTTCTCAAGATCACATAAATATTCATTTGCAAATCCAGGACTTGACTGTAAGCCTGTTTGATTCTTTCACTCAGTTTATGTGGCAAGGGCCTAGCTAATGCTTAACAAGTGGTTGGTACCCAAGAAAGGGTGGCCAAAGCTGTCACCACTATTAGTGTGAAGCTGCCTGGGGATTCTTAATAAAGGTCTTTGTTCAGGCAGGGAGGCTGTGGCGACGGTTGGGCACAATCCTCAGAAGCTGAGCTGTGTGTGTGGAGATGTGTAACCCAGCAGTGGTGATGGTATTCTCTGAGTAGGGAGAGGCTCAGGCTTTTTACAAATGAATATGGCTAATACAAACACAGAATGCCATCATTTATAAAGTGCTTTCACAGGCACGGCCTAGCTTAAATTACTCTGCAGGCTTGTGAAGGAATGTCAGCACTACTACTATTTTACAGATGGGGAAACTGAGGCCCAGAGACATGACAGGTAAGTCCTCCCCAGATCATTCAGCCAAAAGCCACCGATTGGATGCTCAGACTCTTCTTCTGGTGTCAAAGCCACCATCTTTCCACTAGGCTATGATATTTTAAAATTACTCCCAAGTACTCACAAAAGAGACCCATCAGTCCTGTTTCCCAGATTTGACACCTGCAGCTCAGACCCTAGAATCAGCTTCACAGAGGCCGTGCTACGTCCAGTAACAGCACAGAGGAAAGATAGATTCGCATGGATGGGGAAAAGTGCTTGGCTGCTAGGGGCTACAGATCACACTTAAAACCAGGGAAGGCTGTACAGAGGTGGTGACTCTTAGTGATGTCCTAGAGCAGTGATGGCGAACCTTTTGAGCTCGGTGTGTCAGCATTTTGAAAAACCCTAACTTAACTCTGGTGCTGTGTCACATATAGAAATTTTTTGATATTTTCAACCATAGTAAAACAAAGACTTATATTTTTGATATTTATTTTATATATTTAAATGCCATTTAACAAAGAAAAATCAACCAAAAAAATGAGTTCGAGTATCACCTCTGACACGCGTGTCATAGGTTCGCCATCACTGTCCTAGAGGGAGGAGAAGGATTTTAACAGAGGAGGAGATTCAACAAGTGATACTAAAATGGAAGAAAGGAATAATTGTATAGCCAAATGACAACATGGTGGTCCCATGGGCGGGAGCCCTTCAAGGAAGCTCCAGTTTGTTGTGCCAATATAATGAGTTGTGTAACCGCATTCCCAGTCAGCCACCACAGTGCTGCATGCGTATGCTAGTAATTAACCCCCTGCCAGCGCGGCGGTGTCTTCTGCATGCCTCCACTTCTGCTCCAGCTTTGCCTCAGAGCAAGCCACCAAAAGAAAGGGCCTAAGGTGGGGAAGTTGGGCAGTTTCAAGCTCACCTTCTCTATGAGTGTACCTCTCTGTTTCCCAGATGCACTGGGAGAAAAAAAGATCAAAGACTTAGGAGGAGGAGCTTTCTGCTCCGGGTTACTGTGAAGACAAGGAGCCCAATTCTGGAACTCTTTAGGGTGGGCGAGATGTTTCCCCAGTTTGCATTTAGCAAACTGTAATTAGCGTCGGCAGGAGAAGAGAAACGACTGTGCTGGGGACACCTCTTTTCTCTGCACAGCAGCCTCTGTTCTGAAGGGCGGTCCCAGCATCAGGCTTTTCTTGTGGGGGCCGTGTACAGAGACCATGGGTAGTTGAAACAGGCTTATTCAGGGGGTGAAGAATGTACATGTGGTAGGGGGCAGAGGCCAGGTGATGATCCATTTCAGATGGCAGAGTAAACCTTGCTTACTTGTCAGCCAGTTGGAATCACAAGGCTCCTGTATGATTTCATTCATTCCACAAGCATACATGAGCCCACACTCAGGGGAGCCCTACTATCTGCTGGATACTAGGTTAGATGCCAGGGGCTCTGTGAGAAGCCACATGGGCCAAAGGCAGAGTCATAGCTGACACACAAAGAACCAGCTGAGCCTTTTTGATTTGGGGATCATTGAGTAAACCAGACACTCCCTGTGTTAGTTAGGATAAGCAATAGTAGTTGCCTTAATCAACAGCCTCTCCCAACTTAATATTTAACAAAATAAAAGTGCATTGTTGTTCTTCATGCAATCATTCAGGAACTCAGGTTTTTTTCTATCTTATGTATGTCACCATCATTTTTAATATGTGGCTTCTGAGGTCTCTGAAGGGGAGAAAAAGGAAGATTTTTAGGGGCCTTTTTGGAAGCTGTCTACATTTCTTCCACTTACTCTGTTGGCCGAAATTCAGTCACAAGCCCCAACTTAATTGTAAGCGCTCTGGGAAATACAGCTTAACCATGTGTCCAGCCTAGATAAAGTCAGTTGCTATTCAAACAAATGCAAGATGATCTAGATTGCCCTTCATGACCACTTTGAGGGGACCTTCCAGGAAAAATGATTTTCCAGTGTAGAATTGAGCACTGCTGCTGAGAATTTAACTCAGATAAATTATCTGGAAGAGC